TATATATATATACTTTAATTTGTAACTTTTAAATAAGATTATCTAATTTAGTATAAATACGAATAGACAAAGAGTTATTCGAAAACTTGGATCAAACACCAAAAAGAAATACACAAGTAAAAATACTGCTCGAAGTTACACTCGAGCAGGAGCGGCTCAAACACATGGGCAGGGCTGTGCATGGATTAGATCGGATCGGATTTAGCATATTTCGGATTTCGGATTCTACAAAATATAATTTGAATCCGATCCGAGTTAATATCGGATCGGATTTTAAAGTTTGAATCGGATAAATATTTCGGATTTTCGGATCGAATTATACGTATTATTAAGGCTATTGCTTATCTAATCGGCAAATGCATCTGCCTTATCTGCTTCTTTTGTGTTATGTGCTAATACAAACATCTCTTTGCTTTTCATCCGTTTTATCAGCATTGCATCTTTAAGAAAATATTTCTCTCGAGGTTCGAGTTGTTATGCCTCTAAGTTGCAAAACTCATACTTATATTTTCTTTGTAGACGAGACAATACAGCAAGAAAAATTCATGTTTCTGCAATTATGAGGGTACTATGGTGCCAATGTAGCTAAATTAAGCAATTGTAAAAGTAATAACTTGGAGGAAGATATAAAGAAAGTATTGGCTATCTGAAATTAAAGTTTAGTATTTATACATGCCCTAATAATTTCAGATTTCGGATCGGATCGGGTTAAAATTATACCGATCTGAGTCCGATCTGGATATCCGAAATTATAAGAAATATAATCCAAAATCAGAAATTGAACAGATCGGTTCGGATTTCAGATATCCGATACAAATGCACAGCCCTACACATTGGATGACCTAAAGTCAAAGTTTAATGTGAGGCCTAAATTTTTAAAAGAAAGTTATGATATATATTTTTTTATTTGAACTCTGTTTTTCTATCTTTTCGAGAAAGTTGTTAATAATTATTTTATAATCTATTTCCTCTAATAATTCCTTTTCAGTTGATAATATAACCAACCCATTTAATCTATCTTGAGATATTGTTAATCTCATGTAAGATTTTATCAATTATAATCTGGAAAAACTTCTTTTCTTTGAGTCAATCGTTATAGGAAAAACTCTACTTTTGTATGAAAAATACTAAATATTTTTTTTAAATACCTATAAACCTATTATTTCTCTAAAAAAAAAAAAAAAAAAAAAAAAAAAAAAAAAAAAAAAAAAAAAAAAAAAAAAAAAAAAAAAATGGGGTCCCAAAAGGCAAAAGCCTTACTTGGAACAACGTTAGAGCCGGACCTGTTCAAGAGAAGCACTTCATCACATAAATCACTTCCATTTGGGCAAAGTACCTTCTTAATTACGGAGTATTTGCAGAGTATAGAAATCAAAATATTAAAAAGACAATATTTAAAGATACAAACTTCTGATAGAATGAAAAGTTATCTGATAATACAACTGTCTAGAGTCATCTAATAAGCAGAGTACACTTCAAATAAGGCGAAGCCTCTCAATGATTACAATTTACAGGATACTAATTATATTTTCTTATCATAGGTATTCTCTTTCATTTTCTATTGTGGACCACAACAATATAATAATATCTACCCTTAAATGAAAAAGAAAAAAATTAAGTAGTTAAACCAATATTATATAATTTACAAAAAGCATGGCGGTTCGTGCAAGCTTCCTTTAGCTCATCATTCTCGACATTTCTTTACCAACCAACAAATCCTAAGAAGCTGCACTCAAGAAAATTTAAACCCATATATTAAAATCAAATCAAATAGTAGACCGGAAATATTCAGCTAAGTAATACATAAAAATATACTCCTTTGAAACCTAATTTATTCCGAAAACTTTTAATTCTAGAGAACTCTCATTTTTATTTTTTGCTCTTCATTTCCCCACTTTGTAGTCTATCTATAGAGAAGTGTATTTAGACTAATAAATTGAGCAAAATAGTGAACAATAAGACAATTAAGCAATCTGAAAAGTGAGTAGTTTTTGACTTTTGATGTGTAAGGTAAGATAGGAAAAAAGGAAAGCATATAAAATTTTCGTTCCCCATCTCTGCTCCAAAAGAACATCTAATTTTTTGTGTGCCTTACTTCTTTAACTATAACCAGAAAAATTAAATTACATTTATAAACTTACAGAAAACTACTATAGCTCACCAATTTTATAAATAAAAACCTTTAAGAATATGGAAATTATCAACTGTTTCAGCTATAAGTGCAAGTGGAGGAAAAAAAAAAAGCATACATTTGGATAGCAAACAAGAATAGATTATCTTAGATAAAATCAAAACTCGAACACAAATCAACAACTTTGCTATATGAATTTTCACGATCCAAATTACTCCATTTAAACTGGTCTTAATTAAAACTCAAAAACAGAAGAAACAAAAAATTGAAGATAAAAGAAGGCGTTGTACCTGAGAGAACTATGAGAGAGACCATGGAAGAAAAAATTGGCTCCATGTAGGAACATCACAACACCAGTACACCCTAGCACAAATAATTCAAACATCCTTTGGCTGTCGAAAAATAAAAACTACGTCGGACAGTATGTTAATGCTTGAAAAAAAGAGAGCAGAAATGTTTATGATTTTGTTTTTAGAGGGGCTTTAAATAGAAAAGGACCAAACGGGGAATAAGGAAGATGCATTATTTGTTGTTGTTTTTTCATGACGTGGATATCAAATCTCTATCCCAACCAATGATATCTTAGGCTGGGTGGGTGGGCTTTAGATGGCCCACTTTGGGGTGTAATTAGGCCGCAACTAAGGCCCAGAATGCTAGATTGTGACAACTGAGCCCACTGTAATATTCTACTTTTTCTTCGTCCACCTTAATATTTTGCTTTGCATACTATTTTTTTTTTTTTTCACAAAGATTTTTATTAAATAATCATAAGTAGATGTAATGTAAGTTCAAAACAAATATTTATGACAAGGGAAGAAAATAAAAATGAATGTCAAACTATGCCATTATAAAATTTAATGTTAAACTATAACTCGTAAACTATCTTGTTATAAAAAGAATTCGCCCATCAAATAAAGACTTCTTTAATTATTTAATTTTCTCTCTTAGAGTTCAATTTACAAAATGCGATACGGATAGGTTTTGGCAAATGCTTTCTCATTTATTAATATAGAATAGTTAATACTTTACAAGTATTCCTAGTATTTTAAGTTTGATGATGTGACACCTTTTCACCTAATGTTTGAATATAGATTTAGTTAAAATTTTAAAAAAGAGATTTTGAAATTGTGTCGAAAATAATTTTGAAAGTTGAAGTTGTGTTTGAAAATGTATTTTATTTGAATTTTTTTTTTGAAGTTTTGTGAGAGAGAAAATATTTTACCCAAAAACAGCATTAAACCAGTTTTTAGAAACTTAAATTTTTTTTTAAAAAAAACTGATCATGTTCCATGACTTCTAAGTTCTAACTACTTTTCTCTCCCGTTTATTCGTGGACTCACCTGTATCGCAAATGCTTTTAAAAAGAAAAGAAAACAGAAAAAAGGATAGCATCTTTTAAAATAGCAGCTACACATCCGAATATGACACAAATAAAAAAGTAAAAACGAGTATATGGGGGCAAGTTGAGCCCTAGTGGACGACTTATTTTATTTTTTATTCTTGTATATTTTCCATCCAACAACCGCATAATGATTTTATTTGCTTGTTTGCAACACTCAGCATTTACAGTACAGCACAGCACCGACCTCCGCCGCCTCATTGCTGGCTGGGCGGTTGCAGTTGGCGTTCATTTTGTTAGGTAGCGCTCTTTTTCAAAATAATATAGTGCCAAAGTGTTACTCTCTCCGCTTCAATTTATACGAACCCATTGACCGGACACGGAGTTTAAGAAAAAAGAGAAGATTTTTAAATTTGTGGTGTAAAATGAGGCACATATATTTTGTATGACTATAAATTATTGCATAAAGGTAAATTATTTCCAAATAAGGAAAGAGGTCATTCTTTTTGGCATAGACTAAAAAAGAAATAAGTTCACATAAATTGAAACAGAGGTAGTATAAAACAAAAGATATACGTTAAATAAACTGAACACAAGTATAGAAAGATTGATATATTATTCAATTTTAAATTGATGTAGACAATGAATTGAAATCTCCTCTATACTTATAAAAGAAATGAAGCAGCTGTCAGACTTTTCAGGAAGCAATTGTCAGACTTTCCTTGAGCTGCTTGTAAGTTGTCTGCATTAGCTGCTCGCAACCTGCCTGTTTAATAAAAAGTTGTTACAAGTTATTTCATTGAGTTGCTTGCAACCTGCCTGCATCAGCTGCTTGGAGATAAACTTTAATGGAATACTAAATGGATAATCTTCTTAGGAAAATTATCTACAGCGGAGTAATAAATGGACATCCACAATAATATTTTCATAACACTCCCCTTTGGATGTTCATTATTAAGTGCCTCGTTAAAATCTTACTATGAAAAAAATTGTGAGAAAAAAAATCTTAATCAAGAAAAAAGAGTACACTAATAATATATTGCAAGTTGGCTCATTAAAAATCTTATCAGGAAAACCCAGTGGAAAAAAAATTGGGCAAGTAAAAAAGAGTACATTGTATACTTTACTCCCCCTGATAAAGACATTGTTTCAAAACAAGTCTTCGCATTTCAATCGTATATATCATCCCCTCGAAGGTTGCAGTTGGCAAGGACTTGGTGAACAAATCTGCATGATTTTTACTTGAACGGATTTGTTGCACATCAATGTCATCATTTTTTTGAAGATCATGTGTGTAGAATAGTTTTGGTGAAATGTGATTCGTTCTATCTCCTTTTATAAGTCCTCCCTTTAAATATCGCAATATATGCTTAATCACATTCCAATGTCTCAGTGTAGGAGAAGAGCTATATCTTTCTAGTAAATTAACAGAAAATACTATGTCAGGCCTTGTAGTATTAGCAAGATACATAGGTGCACAAATTGCACCGAGATAGGGTATTTCAAGACCAAGGAGTTCCTCATCCTCTTCTGGAGGTCGGAACAGATCCTTATTCACCTCAAGTGATCAAACAACCATTGATGTACTCAATGGGTGTGCTTTGTCCATGTAAAAGCATTTTAAGACCCTTTCTGTATAGGCAGTTTGATGGATAATTCCGTCTCCTAAATGTTCAATTTGAAGACCAAGACAAAGTTTTGTCTTTTCAACATCTTTCATCTCAAATTCTTTCTTAAGTTATTCAATTGCCTTTTAGAGCTCTTCTGGAGTTCCAACAAGATTTATGTCATCAACATATACAACAAGTATAACAAAATCTGATGGCATTTTATTTATAAAAATACATGAACAAATAACATCTTTTATGTAACCTTCTTTCGGCAAATATTTACTGAGGCGATTATACCAGATACGCCCAGATTACTTTAAATCATACAAAAATTTTATAATTTGATCGAGTACATTTCTCAAGACTTTGAATTATATGCTTCAGACATTTTAAATCCTTTAGGGATCTTCATATAAATTTGATCAAATGAGTCATATAGGTTATGATATGTATTTAAATAGCATGACATCTTCAGGTGTCTGGACTACAGGTCTAATCCTCACAATCTTTTATAATATTGTACTATATTGTATTAAATATATTGTCGATGATCATTTTGTATCGGTTCCTAAGCGACATAACTTGTTGAGTTCTCATCACTTTCTTTATTTTCAGGTACATGAACTTCTTCTAGAGTTTCATGAAATGTTATACCGTGGACTCTTCTAAAGCTCATTTCCTCCTCAATATGATCACTTTGATCATTTACTCCTATCATTTTTTAGGGTTTGTTAACTTTGGAACCGATCGGTTTACTACGCTTCATGCGTGAAGTAAACTTTATCCTTCAGGGACTTTAATTTTAATAGGAGAATTTGCAGCTGAATATGATATTTAATTTTGGATCAGCAAATGCTTCTGGTATTTGACTTGAATTATCTTCTGAGTAAGGATCATGATAATTCGATTCATATAGCATATTTTTTAGCTACTTATTTTATCCCCCAAATATTAGAAAAACTAACATATATCCCCCAATCTTCTTTGGGGAACCTATCTTTGTGCATTGTGGTAGAGATATTAATCATATATCACACATCAATAGTTATTAGATAGTAAAAATATTTGATTTCTGATCCAGAACCAACTGTAATGGGAGAACTTATCATATCTTATTGGTATGATGCATACAAATACTGTTGTATGCAATTTAGAAAATTTTAGACCAACACATGAAGCTTTGTTCTCATAAGCAATAGTTTAGCCATTAATAGGAGGCATTAAATGCTAAACTATCTTGGATATAAACCAGCATTATCAAGATAAACTGTCTTGATTTCATAATCTGAAAATTATACTCTTAATTAAGGAAAGCAATTGCAAATGCCAAACTGCGAGTTGATAATAAACACACATGTAACCATTTCATATATGCATCTATAATTGGTTCACATGATAGGCGAATGGGCACAAATTCAAATTTTATATATTCGAGAATTTAGGGGTCTTAGTCCCAACTTTAGCTGGTATAATCAATTTATTATGAGAACAAGCAACACAAGAGAATTCTTGAAGATTCTTCTAGTTCTTCAGTATATACTAATCTGAATTCTCAAATAGCTCATTTAAAAATGGCAAATAAAAACTTCAAGTTTATCATGGCATGTGCTATCTCTTAGTAAACTTCTGATTTACTATGGCATAAACTTTTGCATTAGTAAGCTTCTGATTTACTGTAGCAACTTTTGCCTCAGTAAAACTTCTAATTTACTGTGACTGCTTTTGCATTAGTAAATTTTTGATTTACTGTGATACATGATGTAGTACAAATTAAAGAATAAGACGAGTAAATTCTCACATACATATTATTTTACCTCTATGATTGTGAAAACATGAAGATTTTCAAACTTTTAATCATTTGTAGTCTCAATATGATAGCAATTTGTATTAGTAAACTTCGGGTTTGCTACAACATATGTTTTAACCATATTCATATAATATGAATGACATATTTATGTATAATCTCTTCGAGAGCCTTCATTTATTATCTACAATATAATATTATTCAGACATTACTGGTGTCATGTGTCTTCTAGACAAATAGTTAGCTCTTCAGAAGTTTTTGATATATTTTGTACTATCAAATATTGGTCAGGCACTTCTGGTATCATGAGAGAAAATCATAATCAAATAAATAATATAAATACAATTCTAAATTTATAAATGTCAGAAATTAAGAATTTCAGTAATTTTACCACTAACTTTGTGACAAATGTCTCCTTCAGGGAGAAATACCATTAACATCTGAATATTTTATATCAAAGTGGTAACCATATAGTCATTACATCCTTCAGGGAAAGATACATGAGTTATTATTTTCTTCGGAGTAGTTAATAACAACTAACCATAATATATCAGTGTGGCTGTGGCTATAATAGAAAGTATTCTACAAGAATCCTTTTGCCTTAGAATGAAAAAATTTCAAAGATGTTTGACGTACAACAGGTACGTGCGGCAATGATCTCTATGCCACAAAAATAATATTTATATCCTTTATTATTCTATCTCTTTAGGAGGTGAGTTGTGATAATTACACCGCTTTAT